TTTTAGAAATGTTGGCCAACTGAAAAGAATGAACATGAAAAGTATGAGTACAGCACTCGGTACTTAGTTGGGACTCCTTTTGCCTGGATTACTGCAGCAATGTGGCGTGACATGGAGTCGATCAGTGTGTCTCAGGTGTTGAGCCCAGGTTGCTCTGATAGTGACCTTCAGCTCTTCTGAATTGTTGGGTCTGACGTATCACATCTTCCTCTTCACAATACCTCATAGATTTTCTATGAGGTTAAGGTCAGGGGAGTTTGCTGGCCAATAAAGAACAGGGATACCATGATCCTTAAACCAGGTACTTGGCACCTGCACACAGTGCCAAAGCTACAAGTCCTGTTGGAAAATGAAATCTAGATGCATGAAGTGCTCTAAAACTTCCTGGTAGACGGCTGAGTTGATCTTGGACCTCAGAAAACATAGTGGGCCAACACCAGCAGATGACATGGCACCCCAAACCATCACTGACTGTGGAAACTTGACACTGGACCTCGAGCAACGTGTATTCTGTGCCTCTCCTCTCTTCCTCCAGACTCTGGGACCTTGATTTCCAAAGGAAATGCAACATTTACTTTCATCAGAGAACATAACTTTGGACCACTCAGCAGCAGTCCCAGGTGAGACGCTTCTGATGCTGTCTCTTGTTCAAGAGTGGCTTGACACAAGGAATGAGACAGCTGAAACCCATGTCTTGTATACGTCTGTGCGTGGTGGTTCTTGTAGAAATGACTCCAGCTGCAGTCCACTCTTTGTGAATGAATCTCCCCCACATTTTGGAATGGGTTTTGTTTCACAATTCTCTCCAGGGTGCGGTTATCCCTATTGCTTGTAGACTTTTTTTCCTACCACATCGTTTCCTTACCTTCACCTCTCTATTAATGTGCTTGGACACAGAGCTCTGTGAACAGCCAGCCTTTTTTTGCCCTCCTTATGCAAGGTGTCAATGGTCGTCTTTTGGACAACTGTCAAGTCAGCAGTCTTCACATGATTGTGTAACCTACAGAAATAGACTGAGACCATTTAAAGGCCTTTGCAAGTGTTTTGAGTTAATTAGCTGATTAGAGTGTGGCACCAGGTGTCTTCAATATTGAACCTTTTCAACAATAATCTAATTTTCTGAGATAGTGAATATGGGGTTTTCATTAATTGTCAGTTATAATCATCAACATTAAAAGAAATAAAGATTTGAAATATATCAGTCTGTGTGTAATGAATTAATATAATACACAAGTTTCACTTTTTGTATGGAATAACTGAAATAAATCAGCTTTTTCATGATATTCTAATTTTATGATCAGCACATGTACATTTGTGTTTTGTGTACACTTCCATGTGGATTTCCATGATAAAAAAGAGCGGAGTCATTTTTTGTATTATTTTCATCAAAGTCCTCAGTCCTGGTCTTCGAGGGCCACTACCCTGCACCTTTTAAATGTTTCTCTGCTTCTACACACCTGATGTGAATAAATGAGTGACTAACAGGCTTCTGCAGGAGTTGAAGGTCTGCTGACAAGCAAGGAAGCATCTAAAGCATGTTGGACAGTGGACTTCGAGGACCAGCCTTGAAGGCCATTAATTTAAATCAACAACAGTGGTTCCTGGTCCCTGAGGAACACCATCCTGCATGTTTCAGTCATTTCCTGCTCCAACACCTCTGATTCAGTGATTTAATTACTTCAAGTTCTGCAGAAGTTGGTTAATCACCCTTTCACTCAAATCAGGTGCGTCAAAGCAGGGAAACAAGTAAAACATGCAGGACGGTGCTCCTCAAGGACCAGGTCTGGGAACCACTGGTTTTGAAAACCCATTAAACTGGTTGAAGGCGTCCTCACTTTTTGGCAGGCGCGGTCTTTTGAAGGTTCCACATTTTGAGCGTGTGGTCCTCTGAAGCCGTGATGAGGACAGGCTCCACGGGATGAAAGGTCAGGGCACGAATCCCATCGAAGTGACTCCGCAGAGTGAACTTTGGGTTCCACGTCTTCCTCATGGCGTCCTTATTGTTGCCAATCTGAGAACGAGACATCAGAGCCTAACATTAAACCTACGGCTTCACAAAATGTAACAGACGGGTCAGAAATAAGCTACAATGAAGGACATTGTACATATGGTCATTTTAAATGTGCATAGCATGTTTAGCACTTAGCATAGATTTCCCCCTTAAATATTGTGATGAATAACCTTTAAAACATACAATATATTAAATATGTAGGAGACAGCCCATTGTCACCACAGATTAGTGAATGAAAGAGAAATTAATAGATAAAAGTGACAGAAGAGGTTTTTCACGGCTCTTTCCACTCACATCGTACGCCAGACTGTCGGCCTCGTTGGCCACAGTGAGCCCTGCCAGATCCCCCAGCCCTAAAACGTTCTCCATGGCCTCGTCTGTGCTGATGATGAAGGACTTTCCTGAGGTGGGAGGGAAAGTAAGCGCCTCAACTGGGGGGGAGGAAGAGCAAAGAGTTAAAAATGTAAGCACAAGCATAGAAGAGCTAGACCATTTGATTTTTTCCTGAAGCACCTTCGTCCGGTCGATTTCCCTCGTGTTCGTTGAAGCGGGCCACGTTGGGCCGGGGCTGAGGAGCGGACGGAGGCTGCATGTGAGACAAGTCCTCTCCGTCCCTCAGGTTAGCCAGCATGTCTTGCAGCTTGGACCGGTTGGGCCCTGGTTAACAAGTCGGGTTAAAAGTTAACAAATCTGACAGAGTGATGACAAGTGGAGAAGAAAAAACTAAAAAAATCATAAACGAGTGCGTTCAGGCTGAGAGACAAAGCCGTAAGACTACGGAGGGGAAAGCAGCACTGAAAGGTAGAAAAACAAAAACGATGCGACAAAAGAAGGCGATGAACGGCCAGCAGGGTCCTGAAAGGCAGAAAACGAGTCGAGGCGCATTTATCTTTAGGGGTGAACTGTGCGGAGATCTGAATGTCCACAGCTGAAGACACAAAAGATCTAAACATCTCCTGAACCAGAGGACAGATTCTAATGGAACCCAGGAGGTCTAACTCAACTCAAGATGGCCACCGTACCCAACTGATCACAAAGATGACAATAACCTGGCCAGTTCCAAAGATGTTGGGCTCAAATTGGGTGCGTCAGTAGCTGAGGGTCATTCCCACCGAGTACTAACAGATCATCCAAGATCTGTTTTTTAAATTTGGTCATTACCTACTGAAGTCTGCCTGTCTGTTAGCAAAATATGTCATGAACCACCGGATGAATGGACTCCTACAACACAGTCCAAGTGTAGGCCTTCCTACCTAATCGACATTCGTCAACACAAAAAAATTGATACAACGCAATGAGATCAAATTTGGTGTTTGTAGCCGAGGATCGTCCCCAACACAAAGTGCGACCCCTTCTGAAAAACATCTCCACCTTCTATCACTTATTTGTGGTCGGGTCAGAGGCAACAGGTCCGGGAGAGGAACTCAGACCTCTCTCGCCCCAGCGACCGTCTCCACCTCCTCCTAGGGGACTTCAAGGCGTTCCCAGACCAGAGAGGATACGCAATCCCTCCAGCGAGTTCTGGGTCTGCGCCCAGTCCCATCCCAGAAGGACATGCCTGGAAAACCTCCAAAGGGAGGCGTCCTAATCACATGAACCACCTCAGCTGACTCCTTTCTATGCAGAGGAGCAGCCACTCTACTCCGAGCTCCACTGATGACTCACCCCATCGCTGAGAGCCTTCCACCCTACGAAGGAAGCTCACTTCAGCCGGTTGTATCCAGGATCTGGTTCTTTCGGTCACGATCCAAACTCCATGACCACAGGTGAGGGTTGGAACGTAGACAGACCAGTAAATCCAGAGCTTTGCCTTTCGACTCAACTCTTCCTTCACCGTGACGGACACGTTGTGCAACACGTTTAATTTAAACCTCGACGGTAACGGTTGAAGTCGACCCCGTTTGCTCATCCCCTCAACCCCAGGATGGATTTTAAAGAAACTCTCTAATGGCTGCACTTGGAGTCAACTCAAGTTCAGATGATCCCCACAAATAGAACTCACTTTTACCAATACTGAGCTAAAACTTTGTGTGGTAGTAGCTGAGCATCACCCTCAACACATACTCAGAGCTCTAAAAGAAAAAGTGAGCTCTCACAGAATGCCGTTCACAAGTTCTAACAAATGAGGGTGAGTTTGATCCTTTAATATAGCTCTTTAAAAAACAGAAACCTCTCCTTTAAATTCCCTCCACGTGATCTCCTCCACACATCCACCACAGTGATAAAGCACCGAGAGCGACGGGTTAAAAAAAAGAAGAGCCGAAAGCAGAGGCGCTGGAGTCATGTGAGGAAGAGGAGTGCGACGGAGCGAGTTGTTGATCTCACGATCAATCACAGCAGGAAGAAATGTCTGAATGTAAAATCTGCTGAAAGTGTCTGGAGTGTTGTTCTGAGAGCGGCGGTCTCCTGCCGAGTCACAGAAGCTTTTATCAGCTACCAATTTATACACAGCAGCTAAAATATTTGTAACTGTAGTACCAACACGGCTGACAGATGAGGATAAAGATGGTGATCATTACGTTATTATGACTAGAGAAGACAGAAACAGATGACTGCAGAGACTATGGTGGCCCAGAAGGGACACAGATGGTATTATTATCACTGCTAAGTGCCACATAAATCTCTGAAAATTACCAGTGTGGACAAGATGATGGTGTGAACGTGACATAAAAGGGAAAAACGAAACGAAATGGAACAGACAGACATGCATCAAGCATTAAAGTGTTCAACCCCAATTCTAAAAAAGTCTGGACGTTGTGTAAAATGTAAATAAAAAGAGTTGCAAATCTCAAACTCGTATTTTATTCACAATGGAACACAGTAAACGCATCAGTTTAAAGAAACTGTAGCTTTTTGTTTTTTTTAATAAGGCAAGTTTGAATTTCTTGGCAATTAGGGCTGAGATGGGGTAGAGGTAGGGCAGACGACTTGGGACCAGAAAGTCACAGGTTCAACTCCCTGCAATTACCAAATGTCGTGGTGTCCCTGAGCAAGACACCTAATCCCTAACTGCTCTCCAGGCACTTGCGTAGCTGCCCACTTCTCCACCTGGGTGTCTCTCAAGTGTGATGGTTTAAATGATCACAGATCTCATGTGCAAGGGGACCTGAAGGCAGCCTAACATGCATGTTTTTGGACCGTTTGAGGAAACCGGAGGACCCGGGAAAACCCACACAAACACGAGGAGAACAAACTCCACACAGAAAGACCCCTGGTCCAACACAAGGACTGGACCTTCTAGCTGTGAGGCAACAGTGCTGCTAACCACTAAGCTGTCGTGCTGCCAGCGCACAGTTCAAAAGCCTGCCTCTCTGATGGTATGGGGGTGCATTAGTGCCACCGGCATGGATAGCTTACACATCTGGAAAGGCTCCATCAATGCCATACAGGTTTTAGAAGATCTAAAGCAAAACTTCAGCAAAGACAACCCTGGACTCTATCAGACCTGAATGGGACAACATTGCCTCCAAAACCTCCAGCAACTGGTCTCGTCAGGATCTGAGGGTTTACAGATTGTTGGTGAAAGAAGAGGGGGTGCTTGGCACTGGACAACATGGACCTGAACAACTTTTTTCATGTGCTTCTTCCATCAAAATCAAACTTACCTTAATGTAAAATAAAGGTATATATTTTTTGAGTTTTAACATTTTTTTTTTATTATTATTATTTAAAATATTTACTATGTTCCATTGTAAATATGACATTGGTGAAATTTTTAAATCATTGCAGTCCATTTTACTTTATTTTCATTTTATGCAGCGTCCTAACGTTTACAGAACTGGTGTTATATTTGGGAAGGGAAATCAGGACATTTTCTGTAAGAACAAGTGCTGAGGAGGACCAAAAGGCTTCAGTATGAAAGAGGTCAGAGGTCAGAGAGGCATAACAAGAAAATGAGGGAAAACAATAAAGATGTTCTGGTTTTGATTTGAGGCTTTTCGGCTGAACTCAGAAAAAGTCAGGCTCTACAAAGAGAGAAGAGGGAGGGAGGCAGCAATGCCTAACGGGACTTACTCTTCACCCCCTTTTTCCCCTTGCGCTCCTTTTTGTACTGCTCCTTGAGTTTGGTTATCAGGCCCGGGTCCACGTCCCAGGCCTCAGAAATCGGACCTTGGTCGTCTTTTTCTACACAAAAGGAACAAAACCAGACCGAGAGGCTGTTGAGGAACTGCTCAGGCCGAAGAAATATGGGCCTGGCAGACGCTGCCTAAGGTTTCTCAGACCTTCAGGAGGGTCAGCAGGGTTGCTGAAAAACTAGAAGCAGAACTTGCAGGCCTCTCCCGATTCTCTTTATGATCTATTTTCTATTGGCACAAATGAGTTGATGCCACATGTGATAAATATAAAATCACGCAATACATGTGAATTTTGATCAACAGCCCAATCGTTTTATTCTCATTAGTAACTTCAAATTGAAAGAAAACCGCTCGGCGTGATAAATGTTTTTGTGGATTGGATATAAAGGTCGGTGTGAGTCAAAGGGAATCAGGTTGATCTGACGTTAGAGGAGTGGAAACACATTGTGGTCGCAGGCTGGATATATGGGGACACAGTGAAACAGTTACAAAATATATGGGTTAAACACAGACGCTCACGTTGTCGTGAGTTACGTTCACAGCGTGATAAATGAATGACGGGAACTTTATGAAAATTCATCAAATCATCATAAACTCTAAACATTAATTCATAAAACATTACGTGGATTCTTCTGTCTCAGCTTTCCGTCACACGGGAGGAAATGTTCCAGGAAGTGAAAATGCGCACGCTCCGTTTGTGACCGACGTGCGACTCACCCCAGTCTGTGCCGTCTCCGGTCCCTCTGGACTCTGACGAGGTGTCCATGTCGTCAAGGGGCAGGAAGTCGAAGCTCTTCAACGCCTCCTCTGCGTCAGGGTCCTCACTGGTGTCCATGCTGGCCGGCAAGGACGAGGACGGGGGGTTCTTTCTCACCATCTGCAACAACAAAATATTGAGACCATCGTTTTTAAATCGCAGCAACAACTTGGATTCCACTGTGTGCGATCAGAGGACGAGCGCAGACTAGTTCCTTACAGTCCTGGACTCCACGTTAGTCCTGTCTCGCCCCTCGCTATCCTCTTCCTCGTCTTCATCGCTCAGCTCAGCTGCGGCATTCTCAATTAATTTGAAGGCCTCCAGCACGGCGCTCGTGTCGGAGAGGTCGGCATTCCTGTGGAGACATCAACACACAGCTCTGTAACTAATCATTAAACTTATTGAAAGCTATAGACACTTGAGCATCAACTGAAATGACACAAAACCCTATAAAGTGCACGTCTGTTCCTCATTAGTAGTGTACCACAAGGCTCAGTCTTAGGACCCACTCTCTTTGCAATCTACATAAATAATGTAGGTCAGAACATTCCTGACGTATCCTTGGATTTCTATGCTGACGACACAGTTGTTTATCGTCGAGCTAAATCAGTTGCTAAGGTTTTCCAGCTTCTACAGTCTGCATTCGACATCATCCAGTCAGATTTGTTCCGTCTCAAACTGGTGCTAAATGCTGATAAAACCAAAGGGACGTTGTTTTCAAACAGGAAGTTGGTACCAGCAGTCCTTCCTCCTAGCTTATCTATGAATGTCGTTCCTATTTAGTTTGTGGATTCTTACCAATACTTGGGAATCTTGGTCGATGCACATCTCTCTTTTTAAACCGCATGTCATAACTGGTTGTAACTACTGTACCCATCGCTGCATCCTGTATTCACTGGTCATCATTAACTTCACGCAGACTCTCACTGGTACATTTTCATCTTTAAATCACTCCTTGGTCTGCTGCCTTTATACATCTCCTCCTACATGTCACGTCGTCAGTGCAGTTACAGCGTGCGCTCTCATGACATCATTACCTGCAGCGTCCCCTCAGTGCAGACTGAACTCAGCAAAAAGGTCCTGTAACCTGGACCACCTTGCAAAAAGACCTGAAGCTGTCCAATTTGGCCTCTTTAAGGGATTTTAAACAATCGATAAGTTCAATGCAAAAATCAACGCAGACAAGTTCCTGTTTTTAATATTTTACCTCGTTTCATAATGTAGCTTGATTTTATATCACTACTTTTATTTACTTTTTATTTTATATGCATTTTATGGCTATTCATTGTTGTGTGTACCTTATCTGTTGTTTGTCTAAAACAGGTGTCTCTTGAAAATGACTCGATGAGACTAACCTGTATAAATAAAAGATGAAAAAAAAAAAGATCCCTTGCAGACTGAATACTTGGCTTTTAAAGGCCTTTTTAAAAACAACAACAAAGTAAGACTTACATCTCAGCCTCTAAAGACGCAAAGCAAAATAAATATGTAGCGTTTATGCATCAGGTTCAAATTTATAAATCATAACTGAAGTATTGGTAACGGTGCACACTCACCCTTTAGTGCCGATGCCCTTTGTTGTCGAGTCCGTCCCGTTGACCAAAGGCTCGGTGCTCGCTCGCTCGCCCGTCTTTGCTCCTCCATCCCCGGCGAGTCCTAACAGAGCTCGGACTCGTTGGGACTTTACATCCAAGATGGTGTCTGTGTAGCCCACCTCCTGCAGGTACCTGCAACATGGTCGTAAAATCCAGATGAATGAACGAGTGTTTAACACTCAGCTACAGACTGATAGGATTACTGTAAGATCTCTTCATGTCCTCGTTACCAAAATTAATCAAACATGAACGCCTCACTCTAGCTCCTTGCTAATAAAAAGCTAAAACGTACAATTTAAAAACGTCCCTGGTTAGACGTTCTAAATTTTAAAAGTCTCTGGCTCATAAATGGAAAGAGATTCTGGCTTTTAGGTTCTGATGGTCATAAAAAGCCATTTCTTTGTACAGTTTTTATTTTTCACAACTCTGAAAGAGTGATTCTCTTTCTCCTGCTAAAGAAAATGTTAATTTACACACTGCCCAGATAAGTTCATGTTGCATTGTGACATTTAGAAGTTGCTTTTCCAAGAGCTCAGCAAAAAGGAAAGAACTACAGTTCTGTACAAGAAAATTACACAGAACGACTTCTTTCATTCAGTATGAAACTATTTTAGTTTGTACAGAACTACTTATTTTACGCACTGTATTAAAGTAAGTATTCAGTTGAATTCTACTGTCTTAAACGCACCCGTTTGTTATAAATTTAAGACTAAAATGTCTTCAAATAAAAGGCCACGGTCTTTACGTAACTGAACTGCTTGTTTTTTTAGAGCCGGGTCTTCATTTTTCTTTTTTTTTTAACTTGCTGTAAATTGCACAAATTGTTTGAACTATGACGGGAAGAGGCTAACAATCTGTTAGCTCATTAAAGCTGATTGAATTCAAGCTTTAAGGAGCTCACCGTGGAACTTAAATGTTTAGATTAGGCCTTTAGATTAATCAGTGCTAATTTCTGTAAAAAAAAAAAAAAAACGAGTTCTTACAAACTCCTGACAATCTGCTGCAAACATCTGGATGGAACGCTGCTAAAAGAACCAATTCACATTATTAATTTATATCCAAACATAACCAGACTCATCTTTTTAATCCGAGTTACAAGGAGCCACTGTGGCTCCAGACCTGCAGGCTGTAGGCTCCTGAACAAGACCCAAACTTAATTTTCATTATTTCTCATGCCAACTCAATTTCTTAAAAATAATTGAATCGTATCAGAACTTTTATTTTACTACAATTTAACACAATCAAAGAATTATGCTACAGTTGTGAGTGTCAAATCCTCTGGCAGTGGGGCGAGATGAGCAACTCGTCAAATATTTCCTCAACCCTGAGGCGATGGGGAAGAACCTCAAGCAATGTGAGCGGGAGATAAACTGAACGGGAGGTGGTGGTGCGGACACGGCTGCTTCGTGTTGGGGGCAGAAGATGTGTGATAATATCAGAGACAAAGCCCAACTTATGTAAAACAGATTGGACTGTAGGACAGAGGAGTAATGACAGCAGCTGCCCAGGTGAGGGCGCTGTTCACCACAGTTTTGTGCAGTAGTCCACCACAAGGCAATGAATTTAAAGTTGCTGTATTCTTACAAAAAGTAGAACTATAAAGCTCAAGACCAGTGGATTTGGTGTTAACTCAACAGGATTTTTCAGGCTGAAAGCAGCTGCGTGAACCTGCGGACTCACTGTCTGAGGAGCTGCCGGCCTTGTTTCCAGGACAGCTGATTGTTGAGCGAGCCAGAAGTCTCGTTCTCGTTGGCCTCGTCTGAAGGAGAAGAGAAGGACACAAATCAGGGCACGCATTACTTCCACAGAGTAAACACGACAGCAGCAGCACCTGGGAAACTAAACGTCCATCGCCTTGGTGAAGGCAGACGACAAACGCAGCTGAAGAGAGAAGGACGCGGCCTTTTTAAACCGACAAACTTTATCCTTTAACGCAAACGCTGATTTTGTAAATCAGAACCAACACTGTTGTTTTCAGCCCAATTACTTCCAACTACTTTGTGCTATTTAAATGTTCTTGTATCAAAATGTTCATCTCAGTCTGGAGATCAGTGCTTCGACTTCTGGTTTAGTAACTTTTATACTTAACAGTTTTTTATTTACAAATATATTTCCTATAAAATAAAAGATTTCCTCAATACCCTGAAAAATATTTTTCTCTTTGAAATCTACTTCAACGAACGATACTCGCTGTAACGTTGTCTCCTTTTCTACTCATAGGTAACCTTTTTCGCCTTTTAGCTTTTAGTCTTTTGTTACTTTGAAACTTTTAGTTAGATTTTATCTATAATTCAGTCGCTCGTAGCTGTCCCTGTCCCCTTGTTGCTTTTAGCTGTACTTTTGTTTCTTTTAACCATTCTTTTATCGTCTTCAGGTAACGTTTTGTTGCCTTTAGCAATCCTTTTCGATTTAAACTTCTAACTAGCCTTTAGCTACATTAGCCTTCCAACTACCTTTATGGTACACTGAGCTAGCCTTTTGCTGCTTTTAGCTGGCTTTTTCAACACTTTAAAAGTCTAGCTATCGTTTTGCTACATTTAGCTTTAAGCTGGAATTCTGCTTACTGGTATTTTTGTCTGCGTGTGGCTACTTTGACTAGTTTTTTGCAACTTTAACCTGGAGCTTCTTTTAAATAAGCTTTTGCTCCTTTCAGCTCATCTTAGTTCCAGCTTCCTCATCAAAGATGTTCAGCACTTTGCTGGTTCACGCTGCATTTTTGCAAAAAAAAAAAAAAACATTATTTCTTTCGTTTTATTAACTTTAGAAAGTCCTTTGGATGAAGGACGAAACGTTTCAGCAAAAAAAGTTAAGAGTCCAGATGACCCGACTGAACATTGTTGGATTTTACACCTGGATTATTGAGCACGGACTTTGGTGTTTATTAACTTTACTTCCATATTTGTCTTCAGGGATTCAGTACTTTCTGAACGCAGCCTTTAACAGTTTCAGAGAAAAGACGAGGTGGAACACGATGCTACAAGACATTTGATATCAGCTGATGCACTCCGACACCTACAAATGGCCGATCTCTGCTCCACCTGTGACACGGTACAAAGAGCAGCAGCATCCACAACGCTTTGGATGGCTTTGGTCAGAAACCAAGATGGCATCTGATATTTAACAAAGTGGGCGCTCTGCTCACAGATGAGCGGGGCAGAAAGACGTGTGAATAAGGAAGAGATTGAGCGAGCGGGAAGTGTGTTGAGGGGGTTGAGATCTGTCAGAGCAGGCCTCAAAAGTGGGTCGTGTCTAATTTACAAGGATGACGGGCAGGCAGGTGAGCCATCACGTTGAGAGACACCTCCCGGTTCTCGTCTCCACTCTTCCTCCTCCTCCACCCCTTTTATCTAACACTTCTCTCCTTCGCCTCCCTTAAAGTCATCAACACTTCAAGGGTTCTGTGCTTTGAACAGTTTCATGAATAAAAATGAGGAGGAGGAGGAGGAGAGAGAAAACATCTCTAACTAAATGATTGCGAGCAACATGAACTGGAATATTTCTACAATATTACGAACATAAACTTTCAGTGTGCCGCTGACAGGAGTGACGGATGAAAACAGGGAACAGAAGCACAGAGCACTTACACGTCAGGACATTTTAGGCCCAACATGATCGGATTACAAATCTGCGGTGTCTGTGGAATGCACCAGGAGATATTTGTCTAACACACTTCACTACAATACAGAAACAACACAAAATTACAAATATTAAATAATATGGCTAAGTTATTTATTTATTCATTCATTCATTTCAGTTAAAACAAGACTTATTCCATACATATAAAATGAAAGGCAGCAGAAGAACGAATTCTTATCATTTCTGCCCCTTCTAAACAATATCAATTCAAAACAATCTATTCAAACAATACATAATGCAACCAACCATAAAACTTATCACAATTCATTATAATTCCATACCATTATCCAACTTAAATATATTTCATCATCAATACATTCTAAATCTTTTTTTTTAAAATACAACTAATGAATTCTCCTTTTTGATATCATTATCCAAACCATTCCATAAACTAATTCCCTTGATCGAAGTAGCCCTACCCTTAAAACTTGTTCTATATTTCATCTTTACAAAAATATCTGTTAAGTTAACATAAACACAGATTTTTATATTTTCACACAAATAAAAACTGCTAAATATAGCAAAAAAAAAAATTACAACAAACTCAAGTATTAAATACAAACACACACTCTGCTTATAATACTGTACTGTAAAAAGTCTGCAATTCTCAATGTTCAATACATATTGAACATTATTACTGTTATTGTTTATCTTATTTCTTTCTTTTTTTTTTACATTTTAGGAACTTTTTGTGTGAATCTTTTTATCTGTTGCTGCTGTTACACTTTAATTTCCCACCCGCGGGACAATGAAGGCTGTTTCTATTCTATTCTAATAATCACAGGCTTCTAACCAACAATTAGCATAGATGCTAACTTAACATTGAAACCACTGTAGAAAAGCTAATGTGATTAGCATCGTCATTACTAAAGACAACCGTGTTACAATCTTCTTTCGGCTGCGCTCCCTTCAGGGGTCTCAACAAAAAATCCTCCATTAGTTCCTCTCTATCTGCATCCACATGTCTCCTCTTTGTCTTTTCCATGGCAGCTGCATTTCTAACATCCTTCTACCAGTATACCCACTGTCCCTCCTCTGGACGTGTCCAAACCATCTCAGTCTGGTCTCTCTAACTTTATCTCCCAGTTGTTCAACCTGTGCTGTACCTCTGATGATCTCATTCCTGATCTGATCCATCCGTGTCACTAAGGAGAACCTCAACATCTTCATTTCTGCCACTTCCAGTTCTGTCTCCTGTCTTTTAGTCCATGTCTCTGTCTCCAGATGCAACATAGCTGGTCTCATAACTGTCTTGTAAACTTTTTCTTTGACCTTTGCTGACACTTTTTTGTTGCAAATCACTCCTGAAACATTTCTCCATCCTGCCTGGACTCTCTTTTTCTCCTCTTCACCACACTCCTCATTTTTCTGGACAGTGGACCCCAAGAACTTGAAGTCCTGCACCTTTGTGACCTCTGCTCCTTGTGACCATTCACACACATGTACTCCGTCTTACTACGGCTGACTTTCATTCCTCTTCTTTCAAGTGCATACCTCCACCTCTCCAAGTTCCCTTCCACCTGTTCCCTGTTCTCACCACAGATCACGATGTCATCTGCAAACATCATAGTCCATGGGGATTCCTGCCTGACCTCATCTGTTAGTCGGTCCATCGCCAGAGCAAACAAGAAGGGGCTCAGAGCTGATCCTTGATGCACTCCCACCTCCACCTTGAAGCTACCGTCTCACCACTGTCCTGCTGTCCTCATACATGTCCTGTACCAGAACATACTTCTCTGCCACTCCAGATTTCCTCATGCAATACCACAGCTTCTCCTTCAGTACCTTCTTTCTCGACAGTCACGTTACGATAAATTCAACTCTTTTTTT